CATGTATAAATTGTCTTGTAACGAGAAAATCGAACAATTAAGGCTAAAATGCATTTTTTGTCCTATTAGATAAAGAACGTACATAGCAATTTAGTTCTCAATAGAGTGAGATATAAATTTAAGTTTTGTAATTTAAAATTTGGCTGCAATTTCAATCATGTGTTCATTAAAATTCACATTTTTGGGTCGGAAGTAACACCTATGGCCCACGTGATGCATTTTTAGGCAATTAATGTTGATGTGGCAAACAACCTTCAACCACATGAAAAAAAAAAGGAAAAATGAAATGAAAAATTAAATTACCAACTCATCATCACTTGGTAAACATAACCAATGTAATGGCCTCGTAACTTCATTAATTTGTCTCAATTTGTTGATATCCCCATTAACCCTAATTTTATATCTACATATTATGAGTGAACAAATGTCGGAGAGCTCATATTTGATGAGTCTGAACTCTGAAGGAGTGCGATTGCGACCTACCAAGTGTTGTTCGTGCATTGTGGACATCAAAGAACCCTAAAAGTTGGTTCTATTCACATCTAATTTAGTGTGTAATACAACCTCAATTTGGTCCACCGTCCTTTAAATCGTCCTTGAACCGCTAAAATGACCATCAAAACAGCTTTGAGGGTTGTCCCGGCGTAAAAACTTCGACGCTCAAGTCACTTTTCAGGGGTAGAAGTGTATAATATATAATAGCTTAGAATGTTCAAAGTGATCAGAAGAATGATGATGATACCTCACCCCTTATATAGAGTAATTACTTTGTTGCCCATGATCTTCCCGATCTTGCTTCCCAGGCATTCGTGTTACTCAAATTTTGCCCAATCTTGCTGCCCAAGTAATCTTGTTGCCCCAGTATTATATTTACCCAAGCGTGTTCAGACATTTCTTATCTATTTGCGTTCACACAATTCTGCTTCTTTAGGTAGTCATCCTTCGGTTGACCAAGCTAAGTCGTTTGATTATCTATCTTCTTGCTAATCTAGCCTTAATGGGCATAACAATGTCTTTAAGGTCGTCACCTGAACCTTCTAGTTCCATGTCAAGCATCTATCAAACAATCCTAGAGTCTTAGCTCAACCTGACAAGATTCTTAATCTTCTTCGACTTGGTTCTGAGTTGTCTAAGGTAGTGTACTTCTTGAGCTCTAATCGAGCTACTCATTTGTGTTCAACTAATCGAGCTACATGAGCTCCATTAGTTGGTATGATATACCATTCGTTCAACTAATTGAGCTACTCATTTGCGTTCAACTAATCAAGACTTGCTCCAGAGGATTGTCTGCTTCGAGTCAGGCTCCTGATCTTTCTGGTCACCCAAACGATTGAAAACCAATGTGAGGGGTTGCTTGGCCCTGCGGCTCAGTGCAGGTCTGCTTTTCCCTGTCTTCTATGTCCGAGCAGGGTTAGCTATTTTCTCCTTGAGGGCGACGGCTGCGCAATTCGGGGATTGGGCGTTTCTCTTCTTTGGCGTTTTCAGCAGATTTGTCGTCGAAGCCCATGCATTGTGTTTCCGTTGTTGGGCTTGATTCATACGCGCAGCCACAACTCGTTCAAAAAGGCTCTCTATTCTTTTTACGAACTCTGAGTCCTGGAACGCCACTGCAAAATTCATCGCAGGCGCGTCGGTATGCGCGGGTGTGGTGGTGGTCGTTCCACTTGTTGTTGTTGCTGCGATAGGCTTTCTTCGACAGACACGTCATTTTCTCATAGTTTTCTGTAGTAATGTTCACAAAGCGAAAAATAAATCCAAATAATTTATGGAGCTCTCCTTCTAGTGCAAAAACTATTGTCAAATGAATTTGACTAACGAGTTAAAAATGTTTTACTTAGATTTAATTATGATTATTGTGAAAGAGTTGGACGGAAACGAGAAGAAATGTGAAATACAAATGAAGTAGTGATAAATAGACCAGGTCGGTCAGGGTTGTTTTTTAGTTTAGCTCGGACGAGTATTTAACGTGGTATTGAATACAAGAATACTTGTCTCTCTTTATTACTAGAATTTCAGTAGCCCTTTTTACAGGATTTCTTGTAGTCTATTTGTAGTTTGTGACTCTCGGTTACTGTTTACCGAGTCGTTATCAAGCATTAAATTAGAATGGGGCGCATTTAATGCAGTGCTAGGATCTAGGTGGCTAGGTCCGATAGGCTTGCACGGATAAGACAGTGACATCCCATCTGTTATCATCTAGGCGCAAGTGGCGTTTATTTTGTTATTTCCATCGGTAATGCACCTAGGTCTATCCGTCTCTGGAACTATATCATTTCTCTCGCTTTAACGATGTTGTTGTGTTGGATCCTAAGGCAAGTCCACCGACATGGGATCTTTATAAGTACTTCTGCAGATTTCCCTTATTTGTTGTTCAGCTCGAGTATTAGTCTGTGTTTGGTAAGGCAAATAAGCTAGCTTATAGCTTATTTGGTTAGCTTATAAGCTCCCTGTATTCAAATAAGTCTCGTTTGGTAGGACGAGAGCTTTTTGAAAAAGCTCGAGCTTATCTCATAAGCTACTTTAGGTAGCTTTTCAAATAAACTAGTTGAATTTTTTATTTCAGCTAGCTTATCAGCTAATTTTACCAAACACTTTTATCATATAAACTAGCTTATCAGTTAATTTTACTAAACATAGCCTTAACACTAAGAATATCAACTTCAAAAGTGCAAACGAGCAATTGACGAAATATAGAACCTTCAAACAAAGTCCTCAAGCTTCCAATTGATTGCACCGAGATAAATAAGGCAAAAAGTGATCATGCTGACGGAGAATTGAATACCTTAAAGAGGAGTATTCGAGCTCCAAAACAAGAAAGTTTAATCTTATAAAGAAAAAACAAAAACTAAGAAAATAACAAATAAACAAACACATAATAAAAATGAGAAGGATAAAATGTATTTATATACTCCACTAAGCACACGCACCTAAAAATACACATATTTAGTAAGAGCACCGCTAGCTGGCACGTGCATTCGCGAGCAGCAGACGTGACTTGTGGCAAGGACATGGCATTCCTTGACAAGCTGGCTCTGCGCTGGGCACAGGTGTGCTCGATGCTTGGCGCTCGGCGCAAGTGGTGTTGGACTCGCAGAGCAAGGTGGTAGGCTATATGTGTGGCTGGGTGCTAACCTAGCCGACTAGTCGAAAAATTTTCGGACGAGTTTTCCAAAAACTTCGACAAGTTTCTCGGCAACTTCACGACAAGAATATTTCGAAACACATTTTCTTAACAAACTAAGTAAAAAAAATTGTCAAAAAATGCACAAAATACCAAAACAACACGAAATATAACACGAGCAAAAATAACTAACTTGACTGGAAAAAATCTAAAAAATAAAAATAAACAAATACGAATAACGAATACAAAAACACCACATAAAATAACAACGAAAATACATCAAACAGTAATGTATAACATATTACCACATGCTTATATATAGCTTAAATGGTATATCTCACCCTTTTAAAGTTGTTATACATGTAGTTGCAGGATTTGATTCTTGTAACTGTTTCTAAGGATTTTAGGCTCTCACATATGCCAACCCCTTATAACTATTAAAAAGGAAATACTTTATTAATTAGAAAAAATAACTTACGTCTAATATAGAATTCCTACATCTGTTCACTTATTTAATTTTTCATCTTGATTTTGCACTTTTCTTCGTTTCCAACAATATTGGCTCCATCTTGCATGGGTACAATTCTCGATCGGCCTCTTCTTTTGTGATTAGAAAAGTAAACACGCAAATGCACACATATTTAATTTTCAATTCACACTGTTGTGCTCTCTATCTCTTGCCAATTTTGTCAGATTCCCTTTTCCTTTGGGACAAGAAGGCTTAGTTCCTTTATTGGTCGGCAAAAAAGGAGTGATTGATTTGGGAAAGACCAAATAAGTGAGCAATTTTGATGGTGGTGAACTCAACTCTTGTATAAAGTATGATCATTAAGCAAATGACATTAACAGCATGCATCATTGCCTATCCCATTGGAAGAAGATAAAGTAGTCAAAGTCCTTGTTGAGGAAAATGTTATTGAAGAATCTCCATACACCTTATTCTAACTTTGGGCCCTCTCCTCATTATT